AAGACATATATCTTTACAACTATTACTAAACTTGTGTTTTGAATCACCTGATATGACCTCCTCTTTGACCTAGCTATCCTGAAAGACATTTATTCTAAGTTTCCCAAATCTCTCACCACTATGTAAATTTAATCTATTTTCAACAAAATTCTTTAGAGCTTCCCTAACATCCTGCTACTTAACTTGCTTAGGTGGAACTTGTCTTTAGCATACAATTCATCTTTTTCCTAAAAACCATCCCACATGTTCAAACAAACAACCCATTGATCTAAGCACAATAATCTTTAATTTAAGCCTTGCACCCTGCTAATTCATTTATTCCTACATCTTAGTCTAATGGACTACATCCATAAGGGCTACACTTCTGTTTCTATTTTTGATGATAATACTCAGTAAGTAATCATAGAATAATAACAGAAAATAAAAACCCATATTCCCAAATATTACTTTGACTTATAGTATTAATATACTATTTAATATTAACATTTTTATGAATATATTAGGTCATCAAGAAATTAATGTTGTGTTTTGGAACACTTTCATTAACCACCCTCCAAAAAACTTACATCATGTATAATAGTTAAACGAACCACCTAAACATCACATTAGTGTAGCCTGTATAATGTGTAAAGTTTAGTATGCTCTAATCCCTTATAGTGATGTCACACGATGAGACACACATTTAGCATGTAATACTGTTTGAATACAAGAAGGGAAACAATGCCTCTGTAGCCACAAAGAATATCAAAGAAGTTTATGGAAATGTTTTCAACGTTTGTAAATGTCAATGATGATTCAACAAATTTTATTCGGGTGACTTTAGCCTTAAAAACTGTGATGGCAGGGGCCAACATGTTGGAATTGATATTGATGCTTTGTAGACACTTGTTGAGTCTAACCCAAGGAAACACACACTCGTAAAATTGCCCTGAAATTGCACGTCTCTCATAAAACAATACATAAACATCTAAGGAATAAGAAAAAACTCCATAAAGAAGGTGTTTGAGTGCCTCGCGAAATCTCCGATGGTCATCATTTCCAAAGTGTGAACTTTGCTTTGTTGCTTTGCATTTGGTGGGACAACAAAGGAGTAATTCATTTCAAACTTCTCAATCCACAGCAAACTGTCAATGCAGAGATCTATAGTCAGCAACTGGAACATTTAAATCAAGCCCTTCATCAGAAACACCCTTCACTCGTCAATCGGAAAGATGTTCTTCTCCACGACAATGCACGTCCACATGTGGCACGTTTGACACAACACAAGATTATGGAGTTGGGTTGGGAAGTTCTCCCCCATCCACCATATTCTCCAGATATGGCACCATCAGATTACCATCTTTTTCATTCGCTGCAACACCATCTTAATGGGAAAACGTATGCAAATGTGAAAGGCATTAAAGAGAACATCAACATGTTTTTGCTTCAAACCCAAGTGATCTCTTTAATCAGGGCATTATCAACCTGATTGCAAGATGGAAAAGCATCATCGATAATAATGGAGACTATTTAATTTAATAAATGTTTTTTGTTTTTTTTTATATACAAGTTGTTAGGGTTTTTTCATCTAAAAAAGTGACATTAATTTCTTGACAATCTAATAGCAAAACAATACATGTTAAAACTATAAGAAAGCTAGGGATTGTCTAAGGTTAACAAAATTAGGAAATCAAAAATGACTTATAAGAAATAGCTCTTTGTTAATGTTTGACCCAATATCAAGAATTTTTTTAAGTGTGTTAAAAGTAAGTAAAATATTAAAGTTGGGAATGAGACATTAAAGGATACTGACGAAAAGATGGAAAAGTTCTCATGTGGGTAAAGTTAGGATCTCTTAACTCGTTTTCCCTTGAGAAAAGAAAGGTAAAAGATAACCTTATGGAATTTTACAAAATTATATGGGAGATCGATAGAATAAAGGCCTTTGACTGTTTTTGTGCTGTATTCTGAATACAAAACGAGAAGAGGACTTGTTAAACATTTTAGAGAAGGCAAGCTGAGCTCTAGTTCAAACAGTTTTCCTTTCCCACAGACTAATTAGCTTATGGAATAACTTTACATCAGCAGTAGTAGAAGTTGGCATGTTTTGTGAATTTAAAAAAAAAATTGTGTATATTAACTGATCATACTATCGTACATTAGCACTCGAATGTGTGCCTTCATGTTATAATATTTTGTCTAAAATAATAAGTAAAAATTACTACACATGCAGATCTGAGCCAAGACTATGCTATAATTTGAATGTAATATCTTAATTTACCTGGTGTTATTACTTTACTAATACTAGTGTGAATTCATTACTTTTCAATAGAACAAAGTACTAATAAACAGTGTGCTGAAATCTGGCCCTAAACTTAGATTTTAGGTACATTTTCAAAATATTAATTCAAAACTAAAAGAAAAAATTTAAATTATATTTTTATCTCATTTCATGAACAAGGTAAATGTTACAATTACCAAAGTATAACAAATATAGACCAATTTAAGTAAGTTAACTTCTTTTCTATACAAACCTCATTTCACAACATTCCTGAACATATTTACTTATTACTCATAAGTTCATAACTCTTATGGAACTATGGGTTCCAAAATGAAACAATATATTTTAATCTGTAAATACTGAAAGAAAAAAGTGTTTATAGTTTTAATGCCACATTCTATTTCACATATTTTGTAAACAAAATCATTAACATTATTTCAAAACCAAATAAGACTAGTCAACATGGTAATTTTTCCTCAAGAATGTGTTTTCCCTATGTCTGTAGATAAGCCCTATAAATATATGACATCAAACCGAGTAGTTTCAGATTTGGTACCACCTTTTATTTTACATGCATTGTAAATGTGACCAAGAAAATTATTTAAAAAAAAAGGGTCACCACCATCTTTTGTCCTCCAGAGGGTATTTTCCATATATCACTAATGATGATTTGCTAAAGAGATTTTACTGACAAGAATCTCCCTCATTATATCATATTCATATAAGCCCAGGATGTTCCTTAACAGTCACATGTTGAAGATCAGATTAACATCTGTAAACCTCTGTCACAAGTGAGTACCGTATTTCAATGCTACAAGCTTCTTCATTAAAAATTTCAATAAGGTTAAACATGTGCCTTATTATGCCATTGTCCATAAACATCCTAAAAACAAGCAGCACTCCTCAATAGCCACAGCACTTGAAATTATTTTAGGCAGGAGTAGAGTGAATTAATCTACGAGACCTTTTTTCCCCTTTTTATTAACTATATTTTTTAGCACAATCCTATACCAAGCATGGGGCTCACATAAACCCCATTTGATTTTATTACTCATCAGGATCTATATCAGCCTACCCTCAAACTGAAATTCTTTCAGGCAGGATTAGAGTAAATTAATGTATGAGACCTTGGGCATGGTCAAATATATCAATCAAAAGGGTTTGACCTCCTCGGTCCAAAACTGTAATTAGATCTAAAATCAGTCAAGAGATGATGGAGCTATGAGCTAAAAGTTTGTATTTGAAAAAAAACTAAAAACCATTCTGTGAGCCACTGTGCCGTGACTAAGAAGGTAAAACACTATGCCATCTAGCAAGGTTTGTTTTTATATATACTCAAGCAAATCTACTTGACAGCTATCTGTCTCTAATTTAGAAGTGATAGGCCAGAAAGAAGACAGCTAGTCAACATCACCTTCTGGAGCTACTCTTTTTACCAGTGAAAAGTGTGGTTGACAGTCACATTATAATGCTGAAAGGGCAAGCATTTTCTGTGATGAGATTTGAATATGCAACCCACAGATGGCAATTCAAGCACCCTAACCACCAGGCTATGCCAGGTCTATTTCTAGCAGAGTTAACTAATAATCACATGATTCCTGTTTTAACATTCTTCCACAGTTATCTTTTTAGAGATTATAAAGAGATAATGAAAAAACCTTTACAGCATTTGTGTTGTCACAGATTTTTGTTAGGCTTTAATACATTCTGTACTACTGGCAATAATAAATCATGAATTAATATTAAACTATCTAAACAAGATGTTGGAAAATGCAAAAAAATATTTTACTTTGATGCAAAATTTATTATTCATTAACAGACTGAAAGATCCTTTTAAGTTACTGTGTTACATGGTTAAAAGACACAAATCACTCAGAATCCAAGAGTTGGTAAGGAATAGCAAAGAATCAGATGTTTGTATAAGTGAGACTTTATGATGGATGACAGAAACACTACACAGAAAGTCACCTTTCAGCAAGCTTTTAGAAGAAATTTATCAGATGTATAATAGTGAGTTAAAAAACCTTGACAAATATGTTGTCAAATGAATAAAAATGAAGCAATTCAAGAAATCTTGTAACATGAGTAGGTGGAATTTCTGTTGGTATGGCTATACCTATAACTTGTATTTTATAAGTGAACATTATGTTTCTCTATTATTAGTATTAAACCAAAAATAAGTTATTTCACACTATGAGTAAGCTTTTAAAATCCTTTATAAGTTTATTAAACCTAATAACATTAAGAAGTCTTCTCTAAAAAATTAAATAATATTCAGTAGCATTCAATTCATAATCACCACTAATACTATAATAGTAATAGTAAAACTATGATTTTAATTTATAATAAAATATTCAAATGAAGTAACAATGTAGTTTGATTCTAAGTTTCAAAGTTTTGCAAAAAAATATCAGAAACTTCGATATCAATAGTCTTTCTTTCTTTCATTGTTTTCGAATATTTATGGAAAAAAAACCTCTACTGTTTCATTTTGGAGTATGTAGTGTAACTCGTACGTACTACTATAAATATAATACCAATAACTTAAATAAGCAACATTCACTTCAGTGATTCACCAACAAGTAACAAAAGGCTAGCCCAGACTTCGGATACGTTTCACTAGTGGTTACAATTTTCATGACTTTCACTGTCAAATTACTATACTTATAATGTTAAAGAAAGCCTTAACTAGCCAGTTTATATAAATGTAGATAAACAGCAAAGAATAATAGTCACTTACCATCCATGCATCATCAGGCAGGGCACCAGAATCAACGCAAACTGTTTCAAATTCAAGATTGCTGGAAGCCGCCGCCATCTTGAGGTGGTTTTATGTACTTTTTCAATATCACATAAGGGACCATATGAATATATTTTGAGTAGTCAAAAAGAAAAAAAAGTAATATTTTAGAAGGCTTTTGTTCGTTTTCTTACAAAAGGTTTTAAAAACAGTGTTAAAAATTTAAGTAGATGACTTGGAATAAAACTCTTTGTTTGTTTATAATTAAGCACAAAGCTACACAGTGGGCTATCTGTGCTCTGCCCACCACGGGTATCGAAACCAGGATTCTAGCGTTGTAAGTCCGCAGACATACCGCTGTGCCACTGGGGGGCTGGAATGAAATGGTAACGAAATCCGATGAAATATACTGAGCTATATTAGATTTGAGAACTTTAATTTACTTCAGTTGCGTGTTTTAATTAAATGGAACGACGTTTCGGTTTTGAAACCATGGTTTTCTTCAACTGAAACAACTTGCGCATCAGATAGCTCAATATATAATGATTAAATAGTATTAAATTCAAGATTTCTACTATCACACCTACATATTGAAGAAAAATATATATATATATACATACATGCGCGCGAAAAATGGATTTCTCTATTTTGAAAACTATTAAGTTTAAAAAACGTAATTTCATATTATCTTCTTTATCAGTTACATAACTAAAATGTTTTTATTTTGCAACTTAGTTCTTTCTTAGCGAGTTCTTTTAAATTATCAGGTGAAAATAATTTAATACTCAGGCTAGGAATAGTCATAAATTAGTTTATTTCCTCCTTTAATGTTAAAACGTAACAGAATGTTTTGGGACAACATAGGACCTATTGATCCATCTCGGCTTTCCCATCCTCTAAACTAAACTATTAATAAGTAAATATTTAAAAAATCGTAAAGCCAGCCCTTATCATTCATATACTTATCAAGTTTTCTCTTAAACTCATTTAAATTTACTACCTCCACGACATCCGAAGGCAACCCATTCCAAAGGCCAACCACCCTATTAAAAAAATAAAACTGTCTTAGCTGAAGATTTATATTTGTGTCCCCTAGTCTTACTATTCTCATCGTTAAGTATGAAAAAATTCCCTTTACAATCTTAAACACCTCAATCAGATCCCCTCTAACTCTCCTTTTTTTCAAGAGAAAACACTTTGAGAGATATCGACCTCTTCTCCTATGACAACTCAACCATCCCAGGCACCATTCTAGTAACCCTCCTCTGAACTCTTTCCAACAATTCAATGTCCTTCCTAAATTAAGGAGCACGAGACTGAACAAAATACTCCAAATGTTACCTAACCAGTGACCTATACAATGAAATTATAACCTCTTTAGACTTTTATTCAATATTTCTGTAGATACAACCTAAAATTTCATTTGTCCTACCACTAGCAACAGCACACTGCTTGGATAGCTTAAGAGACTGATCTACTATTACGCCAAGATCCCTTTCTTTCATGACACTGTTAAAGTAATTCCCATACGAATTATACTTATAATTCAAATTATGATAACCCACATGTTTTATCTTGCATTTCTTACAATTAAAACCCATTTGCCATTTGTTTGCCATACTCACTAAATGATCTAAATCCTTTTGTAAATCAGCAGTATCCTCTTCACAGCTAGCAACACACAAGACCTCAATATCATCTGCAAATTTAAGTAATTCATTGACCATTCTTTTATCTGTGTCATTGACGTAAAGCAAAAGTCCTTACAATCCTGGGTTCGATTACCCGCTGTAGACACATTAAATAGCCTAATGTGGCTTGTTCTAAAACAAACAAACAACAGTATTATGAATGTGTTTTGTTGAAAAATTGATAAGAAAAAATTTAAAAGTAAAAACCTATCACAATACGAAAGAAAGTGCAAGTTTGTTCTGTTTCCGCCACTAGTATCGAAACCCAGTTTTTAGCGTTGTAAATTCGCAGAAATACCACTGTGCCACTGGGGGACATTCATTGTATAGCTTCGTGCTTAGCCTCAAACAAACAAACAAAAATGTTAGTTCTCTCTTTATATGTCTATTGTTTTAACCATTAAAAGTTTGACCCATGAGTGCAGAGCTTGAAATAGCATGTTAGAAAAGAATTGAAGAAAGGCCGCTATAGTTAAAGAAGAAGAAAATCTTCAGTCGATACTGTTGCGTCAGCGAGGTCATATGACTAGTATCACGCCACGTCCTTCTCGAACCTTCGTGAATTATCGGGAGACTACTAGATTGGGGGTAGTCTGGTATATATAAGATGGTCACAACGTGACAGAGGTAATGAGTAATTGAACTGCAGTCAGAGAGAATATTGTTAAGCACGTGAGAATTATAGCGTTTGTTACAGAGCGACTGTTGAAATTAAGTGTATCGTAAAGTTGTATTCGGAAAGAATAAACCAGTTTTATTAAAGAGAGGACTTGTGTCGCTAAAGTTTCGTCGGAACGAATTTACGGAAAATTAACTAACGAACGAAGACGTAACAATACCATTGACCAAATTAACCATAGCAGCGAATAAAAGAAAAACTAAAAGTTTGTTATTGGTATTACATAGAAATTACAGTTCAAATATTCTTAAGATATTGTTTGGACACTTTTCTTCATTTTTGCCCTGAAACGTACTATGCCAATGTTAATGGTAATATAAGAAAAACTTTAACAAATTATCTTTAAATAAACTTATTGAATAAATATCAGAATTATTTACATCGGTTTACCAGGTACAGCATCATCCGGGACAAATAAGAGGGCAGAAGTCAGACAATCAGCAAAGTTTAATCAGTAGCACTAACATGTCTTCTGATGGTTCAGTGATGAGCTTGAGAGGCTTACACGACTAGAGTTCGAGGTTTGATTTCCAATGTGGGTTCGACGTAGAAAGCCAATTGTGCAGCTTTGCTCTGAAACGAAAACAAATGCCCACATAACAATGAAATGAAGATTGTATATATACATATATGTAGGTGTGTGTGTGTGTGTATTCAAAGAGCTAAGTTTCTTTATTCAAATAAAATAACTTGTTTTATCAGTATAATAATAATAATAAACATATTGCCACAAACTCAAGTGAAATATAAGCCCGTTGTTTACAAGAATGAAAATGTGATGTATTAGTTTTGCCTTTGACACCTAGGGGAGAAAAAAAGCTTAAATCATCATATTTGACTGCAAGTTTCACACCTTAACGGCACGTAACGAAATGGATATCGCAGAATAAGAATTTATAAGAGAGGAGGGGGGGAGAGAAGAACAACTGAAAACAATAGAGATTTAATACGAACTTTATGTTTTTATAAATAAGATTTGCAAGGACACATTTATAAATTTTTATATATAGGTTCAATATCCTCTATAGGACAGTTACAGTAATGTTTACTTCGTAAAAGAGAATACACATATACATGTATTCGTGTATATATATTTGCAGTGGTGAATGCTTCCACATGAAATAGCACTGTTAATGATTTAAACTGTGTAAAATACAAATGCTGATGTTCACTCGTTTTGTATGTTCTTTTTTATTTCAATGCGAACGTTCTGAAATAATGCTTCATCTAAAGTGGCTTTAATTAACCGAGCTGCTTTTTTTGTGAAGTATCAAATTTTTAAATAGTATTGACGAAATTCGCACTGCAGCATGATCGATGATGAAACACTTATAAATATATTCAGTCGTTTTTATTCTTCTTTCGTCTGTGTAGAATATACAGGTTAGGTCTCGCAAATAATTGTTTTAATACACATTTGGCATCTCGAGAGATCTTACTAATTAACAGTTATGGATGTTCTAAGAGTGAACATTCAACGGAAAATAGATAGTTTATATATATATATGTGTGTGTGTGTCTGTGTTGTTGTATGATATACATGACAATACACTCAATATCCGTAGTTTGAGCTTGGTAATGTACAAATAAGTTGTTACGTTATTCTTTACAACAAACTATTGTGGTTATATCATAAAAACACGTTTTTTTGTTATTTTTTACAAACAGTATTAGTATTTCTTAAAACACAGAAATAACTCTGTATGAATATTTGGTTATTTGTTCACCAGAACGACACCTTATGCACATCATGAACTTCGCGTCCAGGCCAGAGACCCCTACTGGAGGATAGATATTTTATTTAGGAAAATGAACTCATCTCACTGTTGAGTTTATTGCAATATTCATACCGAACATTGTAGTGAAATCCTGTCATAGAAATATATTTAATTTTGGCATTTTTATCTAAGTTATCATTGTTAGGCTTTTGACAATACCCAAAGTTATTAATATGTTATCGAAGTATGAAATGCATTTGTTTTACACAGTTGAACCAATAGTTACAAGTAAAGAAAAAACTTTTCAAAAAAGGAAGTAAATGTAGAGATGGCTAATATCAGTCCTTCAAAAACAATACAAACAAGATGTATTGATGGCTTTTACATCATACCTACATAATAGCACAGACACATAGTGTAGTAGAATGTTAACAAGCAAAAATAGGATGAATTAAACTCATATGTGATTGAATAGTTATATGTGTTGCTATATGTAAATTCATGCCTATGCTATTATGTAGGGATGATGCAAATGCCATTCCTACTATCTTTTTTTTTTACAATGTTTTTGAAGGATTGATATAGCCATCCCTACATTTACTTCCTTTTTTGAAAAGTTTTTCTTTACTTTTTTTATTGCAATGTTTCAACAGACATAAGAAGCTGTATTTATAACCAAGTTGTAAATACAATGAGGTTCTAACTGTAATATTTATTGTTTATATGTTATTGGCTGGTAATTCTTGTTTCACCCTGTACTTAAGCTTTTTAAAGGAACACAAAATTTCTGTAAAAAAGCTAACTTCAAGGGGTAATGATAACATTGTTTACACTAGAATTATGTCATTGTTGTTGTTTTTTCTATGATGTTTACAGATATTCTCAGAACTTTTGACTCAGTCATTACAAAGATGTTGTTATAGAAGGGAACACTGTATAGTATTATTAAGTTCTGATGACCTATTGAGGAGATATTTAAAATGCCATTTCGATTAACAATCCGAGCCATCCCTATAACAGAAGTGCTACCGCCTGCCTGATATCCACTGTTTAACTCGAGGGTAAACACTGTCTATCCACTAGTTTGAGAATAAACGCAATACTTCACACTCTCACGTGCACTGGTATTTTTGAACAGCTTATGGAAAAATTTAATTTTGTCTATTTTTTAGCCCTCTCACTATTTTCTGTAGGAGTCTATTCCTATATTTCAATCATATTTCATCGCATTAAATATTATAATAATAACCCCATAAAAACAGTGCATAATTTTCACTCAAATCATATAAAACTAAGGGCAAGAAAGTAGGTAATTTTGTTTGGGTTTTTTAAAAGAAATGCGGACAAATAGGAGTGACTGATTCTGCCGGTTTGGCAATGGCATTACATTGATTGGTGAAAGGAAAAGTCGATATTTGGTCGCAAACTAACTGCATGCGCAGTTTTCTGCTTCAAACCAATTCATACCGGTTGCGGCTCTATTATCTGTAGGTTATGATATAACACGTGTTTGGGATTCAAAAGAGAATTTATGATCTATTTAAAATTGTTACTCAAGTTTAATGAAAAAGAAAAGAAAATAATTGTTGCTCAACAATCACTAAATTTCCGCGTTCCTTGCATGTATGATGCGTTCACCGAAGTAATAAATGTCGGATTGCAATGGTTCTGTTTAACACATACGTAGGGTTTGCTTCAACCGACGGTGTTCGTCGAGAACCATAGTAGAGACAACAGCAAATCGACTTTTAGTTTTAGTGGCTGAGACGAGTACAAGCTACGCAGATCTTATAAGCAGAATATCATGATGCTATTGGAAAGGATGTTGAAGACCCTAAGGAAATGTTGGAGAACAATAATCCTTTTTGCGACACCGCTAGTGTTGTTACCCCTGTTGATGGTGGTAGACATGAAGGTAAGTGGACGATGTTGAAAACCTGAGTTTGAAACTGCTTTCTCTCCTCCCAGTTCGTGTTGCTCAGGGTATAACAACTCAAGATTTCGATAACGTAATTATTTCTAGTATTTCTATCAGTTTTGTTAACAACATCTGTATTCAAATGCACCATTCAACGAACTGAATATTACCAGGGTTCTGAGATAATACTGAAAGAAGGCTAAGGTAATCTTGTAATAATAATCGATTGATTACAATCTGGATTTTTTTTTTTTGTATGTAAATACTCATGCTTGCACGTATTACAAACATGGTCTTAAGGTAATAAATAGTAATTACTAGGACTAATCTGACAACTTAAGATTTTTTGTAATAATTGGAATAATAATTCACTATAGCCTAGAGTCAGTTGAAAAATGTTTAACCTTATAATCGAATACTGAACGATGTCTATTCTATTAGTATTAATTTATCAAGAAACAGGTTTTGATAAATCGGTAACGCAAATCGGTCTATGGATAATGAAACTACGTTAATTAATTTTACTTGTGTGCTGCAATGAAAAGGTTGTAATGGCAATCATGTCATTCTCGCAAGTTAATTGGCGTGTTTCTTTTGTAGTCTGTTTCGCTCCGACAATTTATAAACATGAAAGTCGATTTACATGTAATTAAAAAGCCTGCAATTGCATTATTATCATTGTTATTTCTGATTTCCTTAAATTTACAAAATTGTGTTATTATTTGAACAGTGTGGTTATTTAGTGAAATATTGGTTAAATAATACGGTCTAAGTATAATTAATTAATATTAGACTTAGTTTACATAATGGCTTTTTTTTTAGTTTATCCATTTTGATTGATGTCCTTTGTAAAATTTAAAACTTCTCTTAAAATCCGGGAAAGCTGAAAGGTTGGTGATTAGGAAATGCGTTTATCATTCAAAAATGTGATGGTAAATGGAGTACTTTGAGTTTGACTCAAGTATTTTAGCTTGTTAAAATCGTGGACACTGGTACATCTAATATTGCTATTACGTTACGATTAATCATTTTACCAATGATACAATGAAATAAAAAATCAAAATATGCTGTCTGTTTTTAAACATTGCTACCAGTTCGTAATTTATTACGAAGTGAAAATCTGTCTACCCTTAAAGAACGCCGAGTGAAGCGCAAACCATTTTATGTTACAAGTCAAGATATGAAATATAACCTTGGCAAGAGTACAGTTATGATCTTACTACATTTCGGGGTATTCATCTGTTTGTATATACTGATTTTATAAAATCATAAACTTTAATAGTATCTTAGGAAAGATGAGACAAGAAAATTAGCACCTGAGATGAACCTTGACTTTTAGGAAAAGCATCTTTACCACCGACCATCAAGTCGTTCTAAGGTCACACTCGTACAACTGTAGTGTACGGTTTTGTTTGTTTGAAGTTAAGCACAAAGCTACACAATGGGCTATCTGTGCTCTGCCCACCACGGGTATCGAAACCCGGTTTCTAGCGTTGTAAGTCCGCATACATGCCGCTGTGCCACTAGGGGCGTTGTGTACTGATGTCATAGCTAAGTTTGACATTGATTACTGAGGTTTATTTACATACATATTTCGAAGATATTGAAGAAAGTTTGTTTGCTTAACTATCTTAGTTTTACAGTTGACATGTTTATTAAGGAAATTGAGGAATGATCTTTTAATATTTAATGTTTGTTTATTTGTTTTGAATTTCGCGCAAAGCTACATGAGGGCTATCTGCGCTAGCCGTCCCTAATTTAGCAGTGTAGAGGGAAGTCATCTCCATCCACCACCAACTCTTGGGCTACTCTTTTACCAACGAATAGTGGGATTGACCGCCACATTATAACGCCCCCACGGCTGAAAGGGCGAGCATGTTTGGTAGAACGGGGATTCGAACCCGCGATCCTCAGATTGCGAGTCGAGTGCCCTAGCCACTTGGCCATATTTATTGAAAGAAGTATATATATGTATATTATTGTTATGCCTTTGATATATTTTATTTACTGAATGAAACCTAATTAAAAACTGTAGTCCATTCAATTCATCCAGGTCACCCACTCGAAGAAGTTTTGATAATGTTGCGTCAGCGAGGTCACGTGACTAGTATCACGCCACCTCCTTCTAGAAATATCCTGTTCCTTCGTGAATTGTCGGGAGACTACTAGATTGGGGGTAGTCTGATATATATAAGACGGTCACAACGTGACGGAACAATGAGTAATTGAACTGCAGTCAGAGAATGTGTAATTGAACTGAGTATTGTCGAGCACGAGCACGTGAGACGTTCTTTGAGAATTATAGCGTTTGTTATAGAGCGACTGTTGAAATTAAGTGTATCGGTAAAGTTGTATTCGGAAAGAATAAACCCGTTTTATTTAAGAAAGCACTTGTGTCGCTAAAGTTTCGTTGGAACAAATTTACGGAAAATTAATTAACGAACGAACGGAGATGTAGCAATAATTTGAATCAATTTTTCTCTAGTTCTTCTACGCTCTAGAAAATAAAAAGTATTTTTTTTACTCAAAGCTTTTACTGAAGGTTTTATCATCCTTCACGCCTAAATTCCTCTCTCATTTTTGATTTTTTTCCCACATCACACCAAATTTCTTCTCACGAAGAAAGCAAATCCTTTCAAAATTTCCCTACCTCCAAGTGTACAACTGTACAACACCTGTTAAAAAAATTTTGGCTTAATCATAAGACTAATTTTTGGTAAGAGAAACATTCTTTCCAGCTTTTTATTATCATCAGCAAATTGTGCAATAATACCGCTCAAGATTATAAGGCAGTGACATAAAAAAACGAAGAATAAAGGCCTCTGAAACAAATCTTTTAAGGGGGGGGGGCTGCCACATCCTCTCAGTGGAAAAAACGTCATTTATTGCCGTCCTGTTTTCTACGAATAATATGATTTTTATCCATTTGCTAATTTTTCATCCAATTTATGTAACTAACCAATTTTTTTTAAGGTTCCTTATCAAAGGTTTTTTGAAAGTGAGCCCCCAGTGGCACAGCGGTATGTCTGCGGACTTACAACGCTAGAAACCGGATTTAGATACCCGTGGTGGGCAGAGCACAGATAGCCCATTGTGTAGTTTTGTGCATAAATTCAAACAAACAATCTGAAAGTGAAGATATGACAAGGATGCCCTCATCCACCGAAGCTAAACTTATAAAGATATTGTAACGAGTAGGAAGTCAACAAACTGTTTTGTAAAACTGATAATTTTAAATTAACTGGCAAAGTTCTAAATTAATTTCTACGTGAATTTTAACAATAAGCTCCAAATAACTTTTTAATAATAGAGGTCGAACTAATAGGTCGCTAGTTTCCCGCATTATTCCTTAAATAATAAAAATAATAATACCAATCACATACAAATTCCTAATCATATAAATTTCTTATAATGTGGAGAGACAAGAGTTAAAAACAGAAGTTAAACTTATTAAATTTCCTCTATTTCGAGGTTGTAAGTTAAATCTCGTAAAAACAATAGGAGCTTAACCCTAGAAGTTTCCAAAGCTACTTCTATTTTTAATGTAAGTAGTTTATGGAAAATCCTTTCTATCTTTAAAAGAATTAATCAATTTGGGAAATTATTGTGCTCTCTCATCAGTTAATCTCTTTTTTTTAATGAGATATGCTTCAGCTGTCTTCCCTTCCTTCATAATAAAGTACCATTTAATATGCCATAGAGGGTTTTCACTGCATAGAACTCCATGACTGATAAAGTAAAAGTGAATACAATATTGAGCGTATGTTAATCGATAATCTTGACGCTATGTAACTATTTATGGAATGTTAAATGAAATTCGGGTTGGCGTGAGTGTTTTCTTTTACCTTTTCGTTACCTGGAAGTGCTACTAGGCTTCTAGTAAACCTTTTAATAATTTGTAAAACCTGTATCTTCTGAAGATGTAGGACAACACATCTATCAAATGTAATCTATTGCATATGTTCTACATGTCAAATTGCTTAAAAGCTGCCCTAAACACTGTCTTCTAAACCAATACTACAGTTATATTTTAATTCGGTCTGTAGCTGTTAACGTTTTTATGTGCTATCTTAAAATAAGAAGGATCATGTTTAAATTAAATATTCAAATACATGATGTTTCTTCGTCAAGATTTGATTCAGTGAAACACTGAATAATACACAACTTCTGCTGTTAATTAAAAAAAAAAAAACACGTCAAACCGTACAACGTAGGTATACGAGTTGGTTGGCGTAATATGTTATTGAACGTATTATACATTATTCAGTTTGAAATTTTCTACATTCGTTTCGCTTGAGGTTTTCATTGTCGTTTCACATATTTCTTGTAACAGAAGAACAGTAAACTTTATGATTTGTAAGCATCGAAATTACGAGCTTTCAAAGTGTTTTTGTAAAGCTTTTGAAGTTATAATATTATTTTGAAGAAATTCCTTTGATGTTGACTCCATACCCTCGATTGCAAAAGTATTCTATTCAAGACACTTTGGTGTGGATAATGTTTAATATCCTGGTTCAGTATATTGTTGTGAGTTTTTTTTATTATTATTATAAAACTACACGTCTGCGCTTTGTCTACCGCGAAGAATCGAACCCCGGATTTTACCGTACGTTGTAAGTCTGTCAACTTACTGCTGACCCATCGGGGGGGGGGGGCGTTCAATTTCATTGTAGATTTTTCAAGAAAACTCGATGATTTCAAGTAGTTTTCAGTACTATTGCCATACCCGCAGTGGGCACAGAACAGATGGCCCATTGTGTATCTTTGCGCTTAACAACAAACAAACAAGCTTTCCACACATAAGCGTAGAACTCTAACGTTGGGTTCTGCAGTAAAATTAGATGTACAGACCAAGAGTTATTTATTCCAGTAAAATCAGAACTTTTTCGTTGAAAGTTAGGAATTTAAGATCTCGTGTTATTATTTAACTATTTCAAACACGAATATTTTTACCATCTTAATTTATCTGACATATAAACAAAGACAGTGTTCGTTGT